CCCGCCCTCCGCCCGCCCCCCTTCGCGGACCCGCTTTGTTGTTGGAATTACAGGCGGGCACCTCTCTCAGGAACCTTCTCTCTCTGGACGGGAGACAGCTCGTGGCGCCACGGTCAGTCCATCGAGTGCAAAGCAGTGGCTTTCCCCGCGAGCAGGACCCGGACGGCGGTGGCAGACTCCGCAGGCGTCTCCCTCCCTGCCCCGCGGGTGCGTTAAGAACCCCTGGCAGGTGGCGGCGTCCCTGAGGCCTGCAGAAGGCTCGGGAGGGAAGAGGTCATGGAGGGGGACGGAGTGAGGCACGTCTGACCCGCCCACTGGGGGTGCTCACGGGCCTCGCTTCCCATGTCCGTGCAGGGCATCGTCCACTCAGCACACTCCTGAGACCACAACCCAAACGCCTGCTCTGAGGGCAAAGTGTTGGTCCCAGGACGGGCGATGACCGGGTGGGCATGACTGCTACCGGACCACAGGCGCCCGGCACAGCCGGCAGCTCTCTGCAAAGGCAGGGGAGCTGGACAGGCGGACGGCAGAGAGGAAGAGACAGCCGCCAAGAATTTCATTTAGCCCGGCCGGCGGGGCCCAGTGGCTGAGCGGCGACCTAGGAACCAGGAGATCAGGGCACACGCCTGGGTTGCGGGCTCAATCCCGGGAGGCGTGCAGGAGGCAGCCAATCAGTGATTCTCTCTCATCATTGATGTTTCTCTTTCTCTCCTCCTCTCCCTTCCTCTCTGAAATCAAGAAAAATGTATTTTTTTAAATAATTTCACGTACTCGCGATATCATCAAGTCTCAGAAACAAGCGTGTCATCACCTGACAGAGGTGATGCTCTGGAGCAACCCGGCCCTGCACCCCCTGCCTGCGAGCATCCCGGACGCGAGGGTTTTGGGCCGTGAGCGTGCCCATTCTCCGGATTGGCACCAACGCTGATAAACAAGTCCTTTTCTCCACTGTCAGCTCCCGCTCAGTCTGTGTGCGGGTGACAGACTCTTATCCGGTTTGGCAGGAAGAAAAGCCACAAGGCCTGGAGGACTGCCTGGAAGAGGGGGTGTCCCAGTGCCTGCTGGGAGCGTCCGGCCCCAGGCCCTCCCCCTGCAGGACCCGGTCGGATCCGTGGACTGCTTCTCCCAGCACAGCCGTGTGTGTCTCAGACCAGGGCAGCAGCCTGTGAGACAGAGGCCGGCGGGCCGGCTCCGCGTCAGAAAGGGACTGGGGGCCGTAACTGGCTACGCGCTGCTCTGAGTCGGGGTCTCTGGCGAGTGTTGCGAAGACCCGCCTTGCCGCTCCCACCGGGCTGTTTGTCCGACGGCCCCTCGACGGACCGTCTCTCCTCCAGCACGAGGTGTGCTGGCTCTTTGGCTCCTGTTATCTTCCCATAAACAGTCATTCATCACACGCCGCCTCGCTTCTCAGCACAGAGCGGGCCCCACAGACCTCGCATACACGACTTCAGATCCAAGTCTTTGCAGAAAAAAAATTCCTTTCCGTTCTTAACCTCATTTCCCCAATGATGTTGGGAAAAGTGAAATGGAACAAAATAAACAGTAAAATTAAACAAACCAACTAAAGTCACCACAGTGCTCGAGCTGGCCGCACAGATGGTGACCCTTCGGGGCTCCGGGACAGGATCAGTCCCTGCCTGGTCCGGCCAACACCCCCGAGGAAAAGAATTTGCAGGTCTTATCAGTAAAATCGTGTTGGGGGACAGATGAATGAACCTGTATGGATCCACGTATTTTATTTATTTACAGAAACAACAAAGATGTGATACTAAGCAAAGATGATCGCAATGGCGTCTGTGGCTTTAAAACAACGAACACTGTGCCACTCGTCTCCACGTATGGCCCCTTGCTGGTTAAAACATGTCTAGGATCTTCCTCCACAATCCTCACTTCACCCTGAAACGGCTCTGACTCGATTTAAATAATAGTCCTGCTTGGATAGGTTTCATTATCATTAACCCACTGGTTCTCCAGCTAATACTTTTGTTTTTCCAACTAAAACTTTAAAAAAATATTTTTGTAGACTTGTGACCAGACGTGGTGGGTGCCACCCGAATGGCTGAGCCTGGGGGTGGAGCCGGGAGAGGGAGGGAGGCTTCACAGCTGCGATCAAACCCCTCGGTCGCCGGAGGCTGTCTGCCCCCACCCGGGACGGGACGGGCCCCGATCGGACGGGACAACCTCCTGCCACAACACATCGATCCCGGACACACGTCCCAGGCCAGAGAGGAGTTCCCAGGCCCGTGCACGCATGTGTGTGTGTGTGTGTGTGTGTGTGTGCGCGTGTGTGTATGTGTGTGCGTGTGTGTATATATGTGTGTGTGAGTGTGCATGTGAGTGTGCATGTGCGTGTGTGTGGCTTTACTTCTCCCAAAACTATTTTGTCAAACCTTCCCCACCCCTAGTTCCCAGGGGAAAAGTTGTCTTCTGCTTCTAAATGCAACTCGGCTGTTTCTTAGGTGAAAGGAGGCGAGTGTGGTTACTCCGGGCACTTCTTTAAGAACTGCGATCTTGTTCTGCGTTTCTCTTCTCCTCTCTCCCGCGCGCGACCCAGCACGGGGTCTCAGTTAATGTTTCCTGAAGGGAAATACGTGTGTGTCGAGGTGACCATGGGAAGGCACTCGATTTAACCAGATTAACCAGATTCGCCAAGTTGGAGACCTGTCTGCCGGGAGAGGGCGGGTAGAGGCGGGAGGGCGTCGCTGTCCGGGCCCCCCTGCCAGGGCCGTCCTCACACAGCCTCCGGGGAACGGCTCCTCGGGAATT